GCTAAGAAATATCAAGAGAAAAAAAACATGGACGATCCACAGGTTCAACTAAGTTATGGTAAGTAGAACTTTTATTATGGTTGTGGATTTCTTGAGGAAATGAGTTGGTAATTGTGTGAGAATGTTTGTGGCAGCAAAGGTCCTCCAAGATTTGAAAGAAATAGATGCATGCATGTGGGTTGATCTAAGAAGTATGGTGATTTTGAGCAAGACAAGTAATGGGTAAGTGTTTTTAACCTTGAGATCATAAGTGGAAAGGAAAAATAAGATGTACATTGATTGTTTATGCTTGTGGCAGCAATGGTAACCAAGGATGTGAGGAGATTGTGAACTATATGTGGGATCCAAGCTAAAGACCAAAAGGTAAGCATACAATGTGAGTACTTTATGTTGTGTTGGCTTTGTTTGGCTGAAAGTATGTGGATTGCATGATAAATTATTGTGAATGATGAGGATGAAAAATGTGATATTAGATTAAGGATTAATTGATTGAAGTGTTACCTGTACATGTGTGTAATTAATTATCATGAGTTTGAATTGTTACTTGGAAGTGAGTAAATGAGGAAGGTTTGCCATGGTGGCTTACCGGAAGAGATAACAGGTGACCGGCATGTAGAAATTAGCTAGAAAACACACCTGAACAAATAGCAACGTAGTGTCCAACTATTGAAGGTGAGTACGGGGTGCCATTTAAAATTTCCATAACTACGTAATGATATACGTAGAGTAAACATTGCTAGTTTTCTTTAAATGCATTTGTGGAAAGCATGAGTTGCTAGAAAATGATTGGTGGTTTTAAATACTTATTTGTGGAAGATTTATACACTTTTATTGTGAAAAGCATGAGCTAGTAGAAATGCTAAGCAATTGTGGATGCCATGGCTTTTGAAATTGCTTTGAATATATTATATATATATATATATATATATAAGCTATATATGTAAAGGGTTTTAAAAATTGAGAAACAAGCTCTTGAACACGGTTTATGTCAAAATGTGCCTTATTGCTTGTGTGATGGGCATTCATGAGTAAATTACATATTTACCTTGCCGATTTGATATTTAAATCTCATGCAAAGGTTTTATATTATAAAGTCTTACAAATGGGTTTTATCATATTACCATGAATGGTTTTTTGGAAATGGATTTGAAATAAGCTTTTGAGAACCCAACTTGATTTTGAAATGGTTTTATCAAATCGGGAGATTCGAGAGTAGGCTGAATGCCACATCGGGATAGTGTGACCCTTGTGCACAAGTGAGCTATAGCAAGAGAACTTTTGGGTCGTTGACGAGTTGTTAGACGTGGCTGGGGCCATGGTCCATGATATATACATGGCAAGGCCACGGATTGATATATGTGGCTAGGCCATAAGCTGATATACGTGGTTGTGACCACATGATTTCTCTGATGTCGGCCAACATGGTCGAGCTTACCATGGCTGTGGGAATCCAACAGAGCAGGGCTCTCATATTGTTATTACGTGGAAGCAGGTCCACGAGTTGATTATTTATGATTACTTACTCGAGAGTGATATCTTCTTGGGTTTTTAAACATGACTTCTTTCGTATGGTGAGAAATATAAGTTTTTTCACAGCTCCCTTATTTATACGATGATTTTGTGTTTAATACCTCGAGGATGAGATGATTTA